AGTATGTATTTAATGCTGAATTAACAGTTTTCCAAGGCTAAGAGCCCTGCTTTCCCTTTTTCCATTGTACTGCCAACTACTCTGATTTCTTTTAGAAATGCTCTTACCTGGGCAGGCACAGAGCCATAATGGAGAGGCACGTGCAAGCTGCAAGCAGATGTCAGGAGACCAGCCGTAGACCATGTCCTTTTGCCATGTCCTGAGGTGGTCTTAGCGGGGAGAGCTCTTGCAGGGTTATAGGTGTTGCTTTTCTTTTGCTTTCATGTCAGGTGCTCGTATTTGTGCTTTAAGGCATCAGGTGCAGTCTGGAATTGGCCCTCTGCTGAGACGCAGGAGTTGCGGTGTTGTGATCCAGAGAAGCTGTGGCTGCCCCATCCCTGGCAGTGCTCAAGGCCAGGTTGGACACAGGGGCTTGGAGCAAGCTGCTCCAGTGGAAGGGGTCCCTGCCCATGGCAGGGGTTGTAGCTGGAAGAGCTTTAAGGTCCCTTCAACCCAAACCAGTCTGGGATTGTGTGTGTGTGAGGTTGCTGCTGCTGTTTTACAGGTGACACTGCAGCCCAGGGCTGGAGAAACAATCCCTGTGGCCATACAGGGCTTGTGTCTCTTAATCCTACAACTTGCCTTCTTCCTATTAGTATTCCAGGGCACCCTGTAGGAGGTGATGTTATTTCAGAGCAGAGCCACAAAGCCTCAGTTCCACAAAGACGTTTCCCCAGGAAAGGTTAATTTGTGTATGACTGATTGGAGCTCAGTTTAGTGGAATTGTTTCACCTGATTCAGAGCATTTAGACAGTAAGAAATAGAAGTATTTTCCTGGTCTTCATTTCCAAATAATCAAGACTATTATTTTAAACATGAATTTTCAACCAGGAGTTTTATATATGCATAATTTAGATCGTTTCCTAGGTGTAGATCTTGTTTTCTTTACTCCAACATGGAAAATAACATGTGGACTCTGAGTAGTTCTCAGATGCTGAATTCCAAATCATCTGAATTAAATTTGAATCCAGTGAGTTCTGCCCTTTCCCAGTTGTTCATCACTTGCAGGGTTTATTCCATTTTAGGTGGTAGTATTCAACCCAGCCACCCCTAGAGATACTGGTTAAACTTTGTGGGTCTAAAGAGTAGCCCATGAATGAGTCCCCAGAGCTGCTTCAGTTTAGCAGTTCAGTGATTTCAGTTTCCTTTAAAAGGACAATGCATTGCAGCTCCTTTTGATACTTGAAAATTTGTTTACAATTTCAGTTTCCCTGCCTCCAGTACCTGTTAGGAATTGTAAAATAAATGGATGTTCCCCCAGTTATATTCTGCTTTTTCTTTTCCTATTTAGCAAACACTGATTTTCACTCCCTTCCCCAGTGCTGCTGTTCACTGCCAAAATTAACATGTCTTTTTGGCTTTGCTTTCCAGAGGGTCTGCCTGGAATGCCCCATTAACAGGAAAGGGTCCTGCTCCCTCCTCCTGGCACTGCTTGGTGCCCACACTGAGGAGGTTTGGTGCTGAAAGGGTCTTGGAGCCAGTGCGAGGAACCCAGACCTGCCTTGTGCTTTATAGGGACTTTTATAAGGCTGTTCACTTGTAACAGTAGGCACTAAAAGGTTTTTGTTTCATGGTGCTGCTGCAGGGCCCAACCTGGCTCTGAGTTACTGAAACCTTTTATGGCCCAGAGCCCCAGATGCTGATGTTGACTTGGGACCACGCTGACACATGTCCCAAGTCACCCGGCAGCATCCACTTCCAGTGCCTGCTGCTTCCAGTAGCTGGGCAGGCAGCTCGTCTGGCCCTGCCTGGCTAAAGCATCACTGCTGGAGGGTGGCAGAGCCCTGCTGCAGTCCTGAACCTGAGCCGCAGCGGGGCCATGCAGCCAAGGTGTCCTCACGGGGCTGGGGAGACCACACAGGTTCAGCAGTGCAGCCTGGTCAAAAGAGGGAGCTGCCCCAGTTGTTTCTAATGGGCAGTGGTGTGGACTCCTAAAACCTTCTCTTGCTGCAGCTTAGGCCCACCTCGAGCAGATAAAGATCAGAGGGAAACCTCCTCTGGCCAATCTGCAGCATCAGGGCCGAGCTTCTGCAGGCACCCTCGCTAGGCTGGACCTTGGCAGCAGATCTGGCACCAAGGCCAGCTGCATGTGCAGGGTTAACTGCTGGGCTTGAGCATGGGAAGCACATTATGGCAAGTCATAGATCTGCAAGGAATGTTGAAAAGGAGGACTTGGGCCATGTGGTGCCCATAAAAATGAATGCAAAATGTTTCCAAAGTAATGAAATCAGCAGATAAGGGGGTTTTTATGTTTCCAAAGTGTTGAATATTAAAAGAAGAAATCAACAGGAGTTTAAATAAGCACAGTCAAGTGAGTCAGCAAGAAGATATAAAATCATCAGGAAAGGCTGAGTTTGTTTTAATGTGGGGATTACTGTAAACACCAGGAGTGCATGGTAACAATTTGTAGCCCATGTGTTTTGAAATATCATAACTGGTGTCAATAAATGCATTAAAATTCAACTTCAAAGAGCTTCGTGGATGTTTGGAGTGTCACGAAGACGTTGCAAAATGGGGATTTTAGGTGGAAACAAATATGGGAGCAATCAAGCACAGCTCCTATGTGAAGAAAGGGATCTTGTCAAGTTGTTAGAGCTAAGCATCTGTGATGGTGATTATTGCTTCTTACTGCTAAGAACTGCTCTCAGCCCCTGATTTCTTTCAAGCTGTCTCCCTTGCCTCCCACCCTGACCTTGTCTCACCCACCTGTTAGGTCTTGCTTCCCAGACGGAATTCTTTGGAGCAGGGCCTGCCCTTTGCTGTTTGTTTCCGCAGTCCCTGGGAAAGCCCGGCTGATTTCCAGGCCCTGTCTCCATTGGAATAATAAACTCATTCTGTATCTGTACCAGGATGACTTGTGGCACAGAGGACGTGTTGTCCTCCTGTGCTGACGGCCTGACTGGATAAAGGCATCTGTCATCACTGCAGTATTTGATGTGCTTGAATCTTCCATGCTCTGTGAGCTGCTGTTCCAGGGGTGTGGAAGAGGCTGAGCTGCCTCCCTTCTGTCTTCCCCACATAGAGTTTCAGTGGTGTATTCTGTCCTTCCTCAATCAAACTTCCACTGGGTTGAAATAACTTCTTTTCCTCACTTTCTCTCTTGGAATATTTCCTCCTGGTGCATTTGGATTCACTCCATAAATGCACTCCTATTTGTTACACAAATCACGTGCGTGCTCCAGGGAAATGGGTCTCTAACTGTGATCTTTCAGCTGTAAAAGCACAGACTTCTAACACTTAAGCTTTAGCACTTTAATAAATCCATTGGTTTGTGTCTGGGATATCCCAGAAAGTGCTGTATAACTTCCGTACGTAAAAAGGCAGCATAGTTCTGTTTACATGACTCTGCCTCAAGATTCCACATACCAGCCTCTTGGTTTTTCTTGTTTTCACCTTTTTGATGGATTTAATGCATTGCTTTAAATCAAACAATCAAAATTTCCTGCTTAAAACCCACTTGGAAAGCTGCATTGGTCATCCTATTGACAGAGCCACTATCAGAGAGCCAACAGAAACCATGAGTTCTTTTCCCTCTCTTTTTATCCCAGGTAAACTCAGACCTTCCAAAGCTCATCACCCTTTCCTTGGTGCTTTCCTGGCCTCCTTCATTCAATTTGCCCATCTCAGAAGTATTTGGGCAGAGGATGGCTATGGAGAAAGGACAAGCCCTGCCTCTCCTGGGGAATCGCTCTGTGCAAGGAGACGCGTGTAACCTGGTGAGAATGTGTGCTCAGCAATGACATGGAGCAAGCCTGGCCTGTAAACAGCATGTTTAAATATCTATGAACTTCTACAATCCAGCTCTGTCTGTGGGACAGAGCTCATTTATGGTCGGTGTGTTGTGGGAACTGTGTTATTACTGTGTTCCAATGTGCCTCTCAGCTTCAAGTTTATAATGCAGTCCCATTGAGAGGTGACAGTGGATACCATCCACCAGTCGAGACATTAGCAGACTGTCTTGTGTGGAATGAATTTCCTCGTCTCAGTTTGATTCCTCCTGTGTCTCCCTGCAGCTGGCAGCCCCTGGCAGACATCAAAGGCCAAAGACAGGCTGGTTCCCAGAAAAGGAGCTCTCTGGCCATTCCTGAATGAGATGCTGTCCTGTCAGCACAAGCTGTTCCACCAGGTGAGCAAGAGAAGTTTCTGATATCTCACATTGTCTCTTCTATGAGTTCACTTTACAGCAAAACACCAACAGTAATTTCACTTATTACAAACCCTGTAGGAACAAAATTAATTCACCCATGCCCTTTTTAAGGTGATTTATGACAAAAGCAATCTGAAGGAACAGATAGGCAGTCCTGTCTCTGGGTTCAACTGCCATTCAATCATCCCAGTCAATATTCCCTTGTTCTAATACTCAGCACTGTGTTCAAAAGGGAGTGCTTCGCTGTCAGCCGCATGCAGACCATGCAGGATTAAATAGGGCTTCTAGTGTGATGCATATAACAACCTCTTAAATGATTGGGACACCTGTTGACATTAATATAGAAGCATGCATGAAAACAAGTGTGCCACACACTGAAATATACGTACACAAATATTAAGAGGATTAGAGAAATTGCTAAAATGAATAGAGTGGGATTTAACCCCAACGTGTCTGGAGCCGCAGCGGAATGGAAAGAACTCGCACAGAGCTGATCCCTTGGTAGATGGCTTTCTTATTTCTGAGTTCATTAGGGGCAGAACCATCTCTGTACAAGGAGATCATCTGCTTACACTTCAAATTTCTCTTTAATATCTGTCTTTGTTTGGAATCTGCCTCTGATTCAAACTCGCTTTCATTTAGTAGCTGGCACCTCTGCCATGCGAGCTGCAGGAAAAAGTAATTAAGTTTAATAGAAGCCACCCTTGCTTTGAAGCTGCCCTGGATTTAAAGCCACAAGGAGAAGCAATTAAACTCTGGCAGCCAAGGATTCAACTGAACTTCTGTAGGGATTGATTTATTTTTTTATATGGGAATTTTCTCAGTGGAGGGATTTGGATTGTCAGATCCCATCGGGTTCAGAGCTGCAGAAATTTCCTTCTTTGGGAAGCCTCCTGAAGCAGAGTTATAAACCACCAACAAGCAATTAGATGGGAAAGGGGATCAGTTGTAAAGATCCAGGCTATTTGTAATCCTTTTGCACTAACTTCCAAAACAGAGTTTGTTCTTCTCAGCAAAGCGCTGAATGGAAAAGGAAAGCAGGGAAGGAAGACATCGGCACGTCTGTTTATTTGGAGGCAGGTCAGCTTGTCAGCAGCCTAGGATATAGATTCATTACAGGAAGGGATTTCTTTGCACTAGAAGGTACCATAAGCATTGTTCAAAGCTGCTGGGGTTTTTCAAACCAGCAAGAGACAGAAATTCTTATTTCACTTGTGTGATTCCACCAAAAAAGAGTCTTTAAATGAAGTAAGAAGGACAGGGGAAAAGATGCCAGAATGCCATAGCCAGAGCCAAACTAGTTCTAACGATTTAAAAATCTCTTAGGTGTTCCCTTTAAAGGACCAGAAAGGGTTCAGCTGAACAAGGTCTGCTTCCAGTGCAGATGCTATTCACAAAAGCAGACTGGTAATTCAGTTAATGCTTACAGGAGGCACAGTTGTCCTCATCTTCACCAACCTTTGGAAATGTTTTTAGCTAAGCCAGGGGCATATGAAAGGTTTAGTTATTGTCATGCAGGTATTTGCAATACATGTTCTTGAATTCCAAGGAAAAAAGTGCTCTCAGGCTCATTACAGGGATACATTCATAGGCCATGTCATGGATGAGAGTCAGTGAATTGATGGTCATGGCTGGAATCGTGGTAAAGCTGCTCTGGCTATAGGCAGTGTCAGGGGAAATGTATTATTGCATCACAAGGCACTGTGAGGTGGGGGGGCATTGGAAACAGCCTGTTGTGCAGCCCTGAGAGGGCATCTCTAGCAATGGGTGCACGAGCCTATAAAAGGGGAGTGGACAAAGAGAGCTCTGTGAAGAATGTTTGACCCCAGCGTTCTGGATGTTCCGGCTGTAATCTTTGACAATGGGTCTGGGCTGTTCAAAGCAGGTGTCGCAGGGGACAGTGGCCCAAGGTCTGTTTTTACAGCAATTGTTGGGCGCTCTAAAGTCAAAGCTGCAATGCTGGGAGCTGGGCAGAAAGAATGTTACATTGGAGAAGAAGCTCAGTCCAAACGGGGGGTGCTGTCTTTGAATTATCCAGTTGACCATGGCATCGTTACATCCTGGGATGATATGGAAAGGATCTGGAGACATGTGTATGAGTGCGAGCTGAGGATCAAGCCCTGTGAGAGGCCAGTGCTGCTAACTGAAGCCCCCCTCAATCCTCTGCAGAACAGGGAAAAAATGACAGAGATCATGTTTGAAAAGTTCATGGTACCTGCCATGTACGTTGCAGTCCAGGCGACCCTGGCACTCTATGCATCGGCCCGTGTCACTGGGATGGTCATGGACAGCGGAGATGGTGTCACCCACACTGTCCCCATATATGAAGGATACTGTTTACCCCATGCTGTCTCCAGGCTGGATATTGCTGGCCGGGATATCACCGAATACTTTATGAAGCTGCTTTTGGAGAGTGGACACACTTTTGTCAGCACGGCTGAAAGGGAGATTGTCAGAGATATCAAAGAGAAGTTGTGCTACGTAGCTTTAGACCCCGTCCAAGAGATGAAAGCAAAGCCAGAAGAGCTCACGAGGGAGTACAGACTGCCTGACAACAATGTCATCCAGATAGGCAACCAGCTCTTCCGTGCACCAGAGACCCTTTTCACGCCTGCAAACATTGGAGTGGAAGCTCCCGGCGTGCACAAAATGATCTTCAACAGCATCATGACGTGCGACATCGACGTGCGCAGGAGTCTTTATGGCAATATCCTCCTCTCGGGTGGGTCCACGCTCTTCCCTGGCCTGGAGGAGCGGATCCTGAAGGAGATGAAGCTGCAAGTGCCTTCTGGCATGTTTGTGAGGATCATCGCCCCCCCTGAGAGGAAATACTGCGTGTGGATTGGGGCCTCCATCCTCACCTGCCTGACATCGTTCCGACAAATGTGGGTCACCGTGAACGATTACAGGGAATCTGGGGCCGCTGTCATTCACCGCAAGTGTGTTTAAGGAGACCGTTAAGTGAAGGGCTTGCTACAGCAACAGGTGAGCAAGGAGCCCTGCTGAGAGCTGACTGACCGGAAAGGTGCTACAGCTGTTTGTGTGTGCACTGGCTGACGCACCGTGTGTGAAGATCAGACATTAAAAGCTTAAGCAATGAGGATCTTAGTGTTTATCATCCCCCTTCCCCTGGGCAGAGGTTACAGGTGCATGCATATCCCAGGGATGCAGTTACTCCCTAACGAACTCACAGCCCGCCTTGGAGTCATCTCTGCTGGGAGATCTTCCCTCTGAGGTACCTGGGGTTTCTGTTCTAAAACTGGCTCTCATGTTATTTTTTACCTCATTGAAAATGTTTCCTTTAGAAACCCAGCAAAACCCCAGACAGAATCCAAATATAAATCAATGCAAATGCAATTACTGTAACCGGCCCTCCTCTGTGCCGGGGGGTCTGAAAAAATCCATTGATTCTCTGCCTTAATTTGTCTGGGAAGTAGGAACACCCAGTTTCATACTGAGTACTAGCCCTGAATCAAAGTGCTCCCCAGAGGAAGTGGTGTTGCCGGTGCAGCTGCAGTGATTGTGAGCTCAGTGGGGTGGTACCTCTAGGCTGGGGGATCTAGAATGTTCTCTGACAGCAGCCACTGCCCAGGACAGCACCTGTCCTGCACAGGACACCTGACTGATGGCAGGGAGCTGTGTGGTGATTTTTGACATAGGGTCTGGGCAGTGTAAGGCTGGCCTGTCGGGGGAACAGGTTCCTCGCTCAGTTATTTCCACTGTTGTGGGGTACCCCAAATTCAAACCTGTCATGTTTGAGGTGAGTCAAAAGGACTGCTATATTGGGGAGGAAGCCCAGTTCAAAAGGGGCATTTTGTCTTTTACTTACCCAATGGAAAATGGGTTGGTTACGTCCTGGGACGACATGGAGAAGATTTGGAGGTACCTGTACAAGCAAGAGCTCAAACTGAAACCGAGCGAGCTGCCGGTGCTGCTGACCGAGGCCCCTCTCAACCCTGTGTCCCATCGGGAGAAGATGGCTGAGATGATGTTCGAGAGCCTCCAGGTGCCTGCCCTGTTTGTGACCCTGGCGGCACTGATGGCCCTGTACGCCTCTGCCCGCACCACGGGGCTGGTGCTGGACAGTGGTGATGGCGTCACCATCACTGTCCCTGTCTACGAAGGCCATTACCTGCTCCATAGCACCACCAGGATGGATTTTGCAGGCAGAGGTGTAACCAAATACCTCACAAGGCTCCTCTTGGAGACTGGGAACTCCTTCGTAAGCACAGCAGAGAGAGAGATTGTCAGGGATATTAAGGAGAAGCTGTGTTACGTTGCGTTAGATCCCAGCCAGAAGATGCATGCGGAGCCTGCAGAACTCCTGCGCAGGTACATTCTCCCTGATGGAAGGGCTATTGAGGCAGGAGACCAGCTATTCCGAGCTCCCGAAGCTCTCTTTATGCCTGCAGAGGCAGAAATCACAGGGCCAGGGGTTGGGGTGATGGTCCTCCAGAGCTTCTCCAAGTGCCACAGCGACATCCAGCCCATCATCCAGAGGAACGTGCTGTTGTCGGGTGGATCGACTCTGTTCCAAGGCTTCAAGGAGAGGCTCCAGAAGGAGCTCCAGGCAGGAGTTCCCAGCACAGCTCGTGTCAAGATCATTTCACCACAAGATCGGGTGTATTCTGTGTGGCTTGGTGCTTCCATCCTGGCCAGGTTAAGAGCATTTAGGAACATGTGGGTTACCAAGGAAGACTATTACGAGGTTGGACCCACAGTACTCCAGAGAAAATGCTTCTGAACGTTCAAGGAGCATCCATCCAGGGTTTGTTTTTGAGTGCCAATCTGAACTGCTGCAGAGCAGTTAATAAATGAGTACAAAAATAATTGATTTATAGGATGTGACTTTATAGCTTACTGAAGAAAGGTCTCTTGTGCATTGGGAGGGAAAAAGAGCCCTTGTTCAGAGCGCTTTTGCTATCCAAAAATGTTGGGGTTTAATTCTAGAAACGTGTTGATCCCTGCTAGAGCTGCAAACAGTTTGTCAGACTTTTAAATACTTAAGAACAAGCCACCTCCATCCCCTGCCCATGGGGCTGGCTCCTTGCCATGCACCATAAACATCCAGGGAGTGCAAAGAGACCTCTGATGGAGAAACAGAGGGCTCAGGGGTATTGCTGACCCTTCACCATCACGCTGGAGATCTCCTGTAGCAGCCCTGGAAGAGCAGAGGGGCCTCAACTTCTACATTTGTGTTTGCTCATGCTCATAAGTTCTATGATTCTCTAAGTTGTTCTGGCTGTTAAAGTAGAGCTCTTGGACCTAGAAGCTCTCTGCTATTACTGGCCGCGTGATCTGCTGTGTCACATCACATGTAACATTGTCCACCTGTGAGGTTCCCCTAATATTCTAGCATAAGGACTATGTGAGACTGCATTTACACAACTTAGTATGATGTTAATTGAAATTAGTAAGTTAATCAGAGAGCCCAAGGTGAATGATATCTATTTAACCATAGGGGACTTCTGAATGAACATTTTGATGTCAGACATCTAAGAGAAGGTGGAGGCATTGGTCCCTACCTGACACTGGTTCTCTTAGGGAAGAGCTGAGTATCTTAAGAGTTATTCTTCTACCTTATCACTGAGAGCCAGGGAGAGTGACAATCCTGCAAGTGTTTGCTTGAATTACTAAGCAAATCTGCATTGCTAGGCTCAGTATTTATAAATCACTACACCAAATAAGCGTAACTGTCAAAAATATCGTGGTAGACGGATTGGGTTTCCACAGGGACCTGTGGAATTCATAACAAAGGTGTGAATTTTCAGCACTGAAATTTGCACTCAAAGAAACTACTTGAAAATGATGCATTTACAAAGATCATCTTTATCCACACCTGCAAATACCTGCACTGCATCCAGGCAGGGGATAGAAATCTCATCATTTGTGAAACTGGTTAGCACTGTGATTGATACATTGCTGAATATCATTGTGTATTGTTGGATTTGTCCAAGACTAACATGAAAGCAGGGAAGAGAGCTGCAGTCTCTCTTGTTAATTCAGTGCAGTGGCTGGCTATTTTCATTCAGCTCCAGAGATGAATCTTCAAACTCATTGATGCCCTCTGCTGCCTTGGGACTGATCAGTCCTCTGCCACCTCCTCTTGCTGCGCTTTGAGGAATCACAACACTCTTCCTTCTCTACATGACATTTACAAGGGAGCCACATCTACCTCCCTGTTCAGTTGTGCACTGAGCCCTGGAGCACTTCCTCAGCAGGGCAAGTGGAAAAATGGGCTGAAAGACCTGGATACAGAGGACATGGGGAACAGGGGATGGTTTGTGAGTGACCACACTGAGACCCACCTACCCTGCTTTTCCCAGTGACCAGAGTGAAAGCATAAAGCAAGGAGCCTGGAGGAAAGCACGCAGCTTTCCTGCTCCGCTTGGGCCCTAAGGCTTCAGAAAGTTGAGAACTGCATTAGCCCATTGAGTTAAAGCAAGTGTTCAGGGCACTTCTGAGCTGTTAGGAAATCAGACTCAGCAGTGTTGGATCTTTCCTCTATTACAGTGTGTTACCTTCTAGCAGCCTGCTGGAAATGTGTAAGCAAACGAGGTACAACTGTAGACAGTTTAAATATTTCACAGCTCACTGACTTCCATCTGAGGAGGGATCTGCAGTAACTTCAGTGTTTGGACTCCTGCTCCAATCATCTAATGCAAATAACAATGCAAAAGCCAGAGTGCTGGAAAGCAGAGGGGACCTGAGTGAACACTGGGACTTGGGGGTGGTGTCAGGGAGGAGGAAAGAGAAGCAAAGGGCAGGATAACTGCAAACCCAGATGCAGAGACAAAACATGTTCAGAGAGTGACACCTAGCAGAGCTCTCTGTGTGCTTTAATGAGATCTCACCCTTGCAGAACAAGATATTGCCTGATGTACTCCAGGATGGGTTCAGTGATACCAAAGTTGTTTTACATCATGGGGCCTGGTTCAGCACCTCCCAGATGAAAATCATTCAACAACCCATTATTAAAGGTATGTAACACCCACAGTGCTGGTTTGGCCTGGCTGTTCCCATTTACCTCTTAGGTATGACTTTGCTCAAGGACACACAACAAGATAGCAGAAGTTGGCACATGTTCCATGACTCTAGACTTTAATCAGCCTCTTCAGTCTCTTGGTCACCTTGTGTTTCCATTGCTACACAGGGAGCTGGAAATTCATTACTCCGTTTGTATTTCATTTTCACTTTGAAGAGGTCTGAGGTCTTCATCATTTGAGACCTTATTCCCTTGGTCTTCATGCCATGGAATATGAATTGCAGTGATCTTTCACCTGATGTATTTCCCCCTATATGCTACCTGTCCTGTGGATAAAGAGGATTTAAACTGTAAATGCCTGGGATCTTTCTAGCCTCAGGAAAGCAACACTTGTTTGGTGAGTATAGGACTGGCTGCAGGGCCTGAATTAATTCCTGGATTTACCAGTGATTAGTTCTGGAATTAACCCTTTGTGTCCCCCCCACCCCCCCACCTGCTGGCAGGGTGAGTTGTGGAGTAGAAAAGGCCTTAAGTCAGTATAAGCACTGCTCAGGGATAACGGAAGCATCCCTGTGTTTTCAGCACAAATCCAAATCACAGCCCCTTACCAGCTATGTAAAAAATTAACTCTATCCCAGCCAAAACCAGCACTTCCTAGCAATTTCATTCCTCCCTCCCCAAGTTGAAGTTTCAATCCAGCAGCAGCTCTTTATTTTCTGTTAAATGTCAGACAATTCATCATTTGCACTTTGCCCATTCCCTGTGAATTTCAGGGTTTTATTGGTATGCAGTCATGTCAGCCTGCGACAATGCACACTGATTACCCAAAACAATGTGCTTCTTGTCACCCTGCCCATTTTTGGTTGCAGGCTCTCAAGAACTGTACAAGAGCTCTTGCTTTCTCCCTCTCCTCCTTGTTATCATGTGCACAATAAAAAGGCTGGGTTCAAATATACACTTGGCAAATAATTATTATCTTTATTATTCAGATCTCCTGGCCCCTGCCCTCGTCCTGCTGGGCTGTGTGAGCACACTTGCTGCAGAAGGTGCCCTCACCCCTGCCTTGCAGATCGCAGGTCTCCAGGAGGGTGGTGATGGGCAGCTTGTTCTGAAAGCAG